TGCTTTTTATCCTGACTTCAATTGCGGAGGAAGGAAGTAATCAACATCTCTTCCTTCTTTTAATTAATTTCTTAATTAATAAATTTCTTTTAATTAATTAATAAGTTCAGCTTATTTTCCCTGCTATTTAGCATGCATTGCATATCTTCCAGTTGCACAAAACCTTCCAACACTGTAGGAAGAACTTGGGACTTGGCACAATGGAAAATTTGCAGTGTACCCATTACTGTTTCATGGGACATTCAGATTATTTCCTAAGTCACTACATCTGTCAAATCTTGGGATAAACTTGGTGGAGGAGTGAATCAAGATTTCCCGTACTATAGATTTATTTATGGTTATAAGAGCTAAAAGGACTACTACTTTATATTGAACTACAACATTGGTATGATATTTATATATTTATTAAATTTATATAGCCACACACTTCACGAGAAGTGACTCTGAGCAGCATCACATATATTTTTATCCAAGTGTCAAATAACAGTCTTGAGAAATAACAGAGGAGACACTTTTTTAATTAAGAAAGGTAAAGGAGATTAAAATGCCCATTTCCATGTCTGCAATTCTCTCTTTTTTGATGTTACAAATTAAACAACCAGGATTTCAATTCTTAGACTTTTTCACATATAATTTGGTTTTCAATCTTAATAAGATTATCTTTAGTGGGTTACATCCATTTGTCATAGAAAAATATTTCTGTTTACCCTGTTATACTTTGAAATGGATATACAAGCTGATCCTTCAGCTATATGGCATCCAGATTTTTATTTGTCCAGTGAAATCTGCCATAAATCAGAATTTTATTTCCTATAAAGTTTTAACTCTTGTCTAAGAAAAAAGTCATGATACTGTATGCCTCATTTAAATCTCATGGTGCTGTCAGCACAAGAAATCAAAATATCTAATTTGCTCACAGTATTAATACTAGCCTTACAGATTACATAGTGTGCTCATAATATGAAAGCTGGAACAATCCCATAGGCCAAAAATAGTTGCAGAGCAAGATTGACAAGCAGGTAAGATGGCCTGCTTCAAGAGATGGATTTGGGGATATTATATGCATTACAGGCAAAAGATCAGTCATTTTGTTTATATCTTTTAACACAAGATTGTTTGAACAAAAATGTATTATTCCATATGGTATATAATAATAAATGCCATATAATAAATGCCATATTTACTAAGTTTTTCTGTTATTTTCAATGAAAGTAAAAATAACATCAATAATTCTAGGGATGTCCTAGTAAATATATGTGTATGGGAGAGTATTCCTTCTTGACTCCCATATTGTAATCTTGCAGGGCTAAAATACGGAAGAAAAATCGTCCACTACATCTCTGTATTTTACAACAGAATGTCAAGAATCTGTGTTTAATAATGACAATCAAATGTTTCCCAAATTATTTCTTTGGGAAATACTCAGGAAAATTCTGGAAAAGATAATAAAGCAGCAGATTATGAGGATCTAGAAATGAACAAAGTAATTACCAGAAGCCAGCATGGGTTTTCTGAAAACAGATCATGCCAGATAAACCTTACTGCCTTCTTTGATAAAGTGACTAAATTAGTGGATCAGGGAAAGGCTGTGGATATAATATATTTAAGACTTCAGTAAGGCACTTGATAAAGTAGACCACAACCTACTTCTTGGTAAGATAGAACAATGTGGGATAGACAGTAGCAGCACCATTGGGATTCTTAGTTGGCTGACCAACAACACCCAGTGTGTGGTCCTCCATGGAAATACATCCACATGGAGGAAATCATGTAGTGGGGTGCCTCAAGGTTCTGTAGTATGCCCAGTGCTCTTCAACATCTTCATAAATGATCTAGATCAGGAGTCCTCAACCCCCAGTCTGTGGACCAGTACCAGGCTGCTGCATGTCAGCAACTGGTCCACACAAACAAGCAAAGCCCCATCTGTGGGATCCAGGCAGCACACAAAACCATGCACCCTCCGGTCTGTGGAAAAATTTCTCTCCATGATGCACAAAAGATTGGGGACCTCTGATCTAGATGAAGAGATAGAAGGACAGCTCATCAAATTTGCAGACTACACCAAGTTGGGGAAATTGCTAACAATTAGGAGGATAGACTCAAGTTTCAGAAGGATCTTCACAGACTTGAATATTGGGCTCTAGCTAACAAAATGCAGTTCACTGGTGAGAAAAGTAAGGTACTGCATCGAAGCAGGAAAAGTCAGAGGTATAGTTAAAGAATAGGTGGTACCTGGCTCAACAGTAGTAGCTGTGAGGGGAATCCAGATGTCCTAATAGAACACTGCTTAAGTATGAGCCAGCAGTGTGGTGCAGCTTCCAAAAAAGCCAATACAATCCTAGACTGCATCAACAGAGGGATAGCACCAAGATCACAAGAAGTGATAGTACCATTTTATCATGCACTAGTGAGGTGAACCTGGAATACTGCATTCAATTCTGATCACGACGAGACTTCCGGTGGCAGGCGACTTCGTCGGTCGCAGCTGTTTGCTGCCTCCCGCCTGTTTCGCGTAAAAGCCGGTTTGACAGCCAGCACCAGCTGTCAAACGGCTTGATACCTTTCCCCTGGGCATAAGGGGATAGGTGAGCTGCCCGGGGTAGGAGTTGAGTTCCCGAGTCGTCCTATATGGACGATGTAGGTGAGA